TATGCAATTGCACTTGTAAAGCAACAGAGAGAAGCAATTGAGAGCCTACCGTTATCTCAGTTGGTAGGATATTAGTATTGCAGGACATGATTCTGTTTCAAATCTTAATGGGCCGTTCTGAATTTGGTTTTTTTTCGTGGGGCCTCTGAGTCTCTCCGCGACTTTATAGATGGATGCAATATTCTAAATTCTGAAATCGTCCAATAACCATGAGATGAAAAGGGCGTTAAGCCTGTTCGATAAGGATGTGGAAAAAAAATTACTCCATCTCACAGTTCTTTGTTTAGCCTCTCTTTAGCTCCCAATGTGCACCATAAAATGCAACACAAGCATCTTTAGAGTTCAGAACAGAAAGACGAGAGGGAAAAAATATCAGCCTGAAAGCTTTGTGAGCGTTTCGTCTTCTCATTCTTTTTTAATATAGAAATTCCCAAAGTTTATTTCCAGACCTTTGGAAACGAGAGGTAACCAAGTGCGTTCTCCAAATTGGTGAACGAAATCTGATAGAAATTTCCAATCAATAGATTTTCGTTAAAGTGCAGACAGGCAACCTCGTCTATGATTAGTAGGCCTACCTAGCGATTTTTTCTCATTCTGATCAGTCTTGAAGTACCCGTTGAACGTTTTCTCTACCATGTTGTGAACAACAATGTGTGGAATGACAGACCGAAATCATTTGACATATTATGTTGAAAATCGTTTTTTTAAAATGATTACACTTTTTTCATAATAATCTCTTTACTACAACCAAAAAGGACTGTATAAAAACATATACAACCAAAAAATTTAAAGAGATACAATCTCCTGCAGTACCATGATTTCTCTGTCTCTTCACCACTCCCCCCCCCCCTGTTGCATAAATCTTTTCTTTACTTTACTTTTATCCGCCGCTTATACCCTTTTGGGTGTCGCGGGAAGAAAGAGACGTCTTTCTGTCGCCAGCCGGAGACCTTGGGTCAGGGGGATGCCGTGGGTGGTCAATCTTTCCCTGACTCCTTCTATCCAGGTCTTTCTCGGTCGCCCTCTAGCCTTGTTGCCATCGGATTTTTTTTTATGTAGGCACGTTGTGCTGGATGGTGTTTTGGTAATCGTAGGAGATGTCCGATCCATTTGATTCTTTGGTGTTGGATGTGATGCATGACATCATTTGTGCCCACCATTTCTCGGATTACAGAGTTTGTAATTTTGTCCCGCCTGGTCTTGTTTACTGCTTTTCTAAGGCATCGCCTTTCAAATGTTGTAATCCTTTGCTCTAATGTCTTGTTCGTGGTCCATGTTTGGCATTGATAGTTGCGTGCTGGGATGAATATGGTGTTATTCATTTTTAGTTTTGTTGTTATGGGGATATTAGGATGTTTCAGTTGAGTAAGCTGGTAACTAAGCTGAATGCATGAAGGACATATTCTGCCTTTTCTTTGTTCGTGTGATGATGATTTTGTATATTATTATAGTATACACCGTACAGTAGTGATGCTTCTATTTCTCATTCTAATGGCTCCGATCACGTTGCATGCATTTTTCTTTGTCTAGTGAATCTCCTTATCAGGTGGTCAGTTTGCATCATATACTACACGCTTGAAAATCTTAAGAAATACGTTCCTCCAGCCCCTCACCCTTTTGTAATGACACCTCCTACCCGTAACCCTCCCCACCTCCCGTAACCCCCCCAAAAAAAAAAAAAAAAAAAATATTCCGAATCATTCATTTCACCCCCTCCCCTTCTCTCCATATCGACCCTTTCTCTGAACGCCTGCAAAACTCAGCCTACAGACCCTGTCGTGAATCATAATAATATTAGGGCTACATTGATTTCTTCATCTCCAAGGAATTTACAGTCATATTTCGTTTGTTTCCTCTTTTACCTCGTTACATTTCTTTTTCTGGAAACCAAGCCATGGACCAAGGGACGCGATCGAAACTCTGCGGCATTGATGAGTACAGGCTAAGCTCCAACTTCCCGGGTCCATTCTCATAATGATAATTGACTTCATGACGTTTCAGTCACTTATTTGTGTTTTACGGTTAAATCATGAAGCACAGAACCAGGCAGCCCGCCTCTTAATTTTTTCAGATCATGAGGACCGACGGGAAAATACTGGACATTAAACTCTAATGGCTACAGGGCACTGGTCGTTTTAGGCATAGGTTCTTATAATAACAAATTATTAACTCTCGCTCAGCCTGGCAACGTTTACCTTTCATGTACATGTACAGAAGTAAATGTGTGGCCTCAGGCTCATTAACACAATCATATTTAAAAACAATTATATTTACATTAGTTTTTGGTGTGTTTGTCTAATCTCAGCTTCATCTGCTTAAAATATCCCTGACGCATGTATGCAAACCGTTGTATTTCTCCACCAGGTGTAAAGGGAAACTGGCAGCCTTCCTCAAGACAAACCTGGTCCAGTACAGCATTATTGCCCTCGTCATCCTCGACTGCCTTATCATCGTCATGGAGTTACTCATTGACATGAACATCATTGTTTGTAAGTAGGAAGTGTTAATTGTCAGTGCTCTTCAGAAAATAGTTTCCATCGAAATAATACGACATGTCTCTGTTTTTGTCAGATGTGTATCGCCTCTGCACATGTTTTGACTACTGCCGAAATGTATAGAGATGTTGAAATGAAATAAGCTTATTTATCACTCTGTGACAAAAATAAAGAGCAGTTTACCTCGGTCCAGATACATTTGGGCACGTATTTTTGCACCTTATTTAAAAGCATGGCCCTTTTAACTGTTAAAAAAATAATTTAAAACAAGAACAGGGACGACAAATGGGGTTAAATACCTGGGGGCAGATAAGGCGCCAGTCCCATATCATACAGAATGGTGTTGATTTATTATCTTTTTCAATACTGGGAAGTTCTTCATGCAGGGGCTTCTTAATTTTTAAAGTTGTTTTCCCTAAGATTAGATCCAGTGCGGGGGCTCTCGTGGCCTAGAGGTTAAGGTGTTGGCCTCTCATTCAAAAGGTCCCGGGTTCGAATCCGGGTAGCGACCGAAAAATTTTCTTCTCTAAATTTGTCTCCTTTCACCTCATTTCCTGCTCTCTAGCAATGTTCTATAGTCTGCTTTCGTCTCCTCTTTTTGCCCCCACCCCCTCACCTCCTTTGCCCCTTCCTCTGGGCTCCTGATTTTTTCTGCAGCCTTTCTACTGCTACTCCTTCGCTTTTTTTTTACTGCTGTCTTTCAGCCACACCCCCTATCTTCTGGTAGGAAAGATCTACACCTAGCCTTCTCGGAGGGAGGCGAAAAATCTCGGAGGGCCCGTGTGCAAGATGCGCACGAAAAAGATCCATTGGTGGTCTAAAATCGATAAGAGTAGGCTTCGGCCGCGACCCGGGCAAAATTCAAAATTTCCTACCAACTGAAAATATTAGGTGTGTCCCGCGCGCTCATATGACCTTATCCAGTTGCGAGCACCGTAAAACACTTTACAGAAACAAAAAACAAAAGGTCCAATGCTTATCTATGACCGTTCCCAAAACAATCGATTACACTTTTCTAGAACTAATTCGGGCTTATGAAACACAGTCGATCGAGCCTTAGTTCAGCTTGTGCACTCACAATCAATTAGTTATATTGGCCTCCTCCAAGTGTTGACCAATTATGATCTCGGTACTGCAGCACTATCTCTGTTACAGATGTGCTTTCAATTTCCTCTTTTGCAGGATGCTACTTACTTAAGCTTGGTTCTATCTTCTTCTAATTTCATTTTTTTCAGCTTTCCCTTTGAAATGTATTGAATTACAGTCTCACAAATAAGAACTTGTGAAAAATGAAACTGAAATTCTGCGGAGCACGTACAGCACGTACAGGCATAAACTTTAATTATTTTGGCCTCAATTGGAAGATTTTTCAACAGGCTAGAGAGAGGAGACAAAACGCCCGAACATCGGAAGTTGGAGTAAGTGCAAGAAAGCACTCAGCTAACGTAACACGTCCAATTTTCTGCTTCTGAATATCTCACTCAATACTGAGTTAGCCACAGCAGAAAACGACCAAAACAGCGTGCTTCCAAAAGGATCAAATTGATCGTTAAGAAGATAACGTTTAGTAGTTTGCTTGTTGTTTTCTCTTTTATGATTTTTATCTTTTTTGTTGTTGTTTTAGTTTTGATCTTTTCAAAGATCAGATAACCAGAATTGTGTTGACACGTTTCTCAATTCCTTCTCTTCAAAGAAAAAAAAATAGAACAACCCCCCCCCCCTTTTTTTTACGCCTACCAAAAAAAAAAGTGCTTAACGGGTAACTAATGCGGTTATGTATTATCAGTTCATGAAATGTCATTGTTAAGCGAAGTGTACTATTCTTCAGCTAATAGGGGGTGCAGGATTTGATCGGTTCAGGAAATGTAGTTTGGCAAAGCACTAGAGCACCCAAGTACGTGGTTTCTTGCACTCACCCCTCCCCCCACCCCCATTCCCACCCACCTAAACAAACACACACACACACACACACACACACACACACACAGAGAGAGAGAGAGAGAGAGAGAGAGAGAGAGAGAGAGAGAGAGAGAGAGAGAGAGGGGGGGGGGAGCGAGAACGAGAGAGACAGAGACGAGGGGAGGGGGGAGCAGACAGGCAAATAGACATAGAAGCAATTGATTATACTAAAAGACCGAACAGAGTGAGTTCATACGGAGCACCAAGAAAAGGGTTTTAAGTGCACGACTTAATGGAGCCTGTATGTATAACACACACACACACACACACACACACACACACACACACACACACACACACACACACACACACACACACACATATATATATATATATATATATATATATACAATAAGATAGATAAATAGATAGATAGATAGATAGATAGATAGATAGATAGATAGATAGATTGATAGATAGATAGATAGATAGATAGATAGATAGATAGATAGATAGATAGATTGATAGATAGATAGATTGATAGATAGATAGATAGATAGATAGATAGATAGATAGATAGATAGATAGATAGATAGATAGATAGATAGATAGGTCTAGACATATTAAAGATTTATATAATATGTATAATGATATATACATATTTCAACAAGTCTATCAGAAATAAAGCCAGATGTTGTACTCAAACCTGCTCTAACAACCACCTGTCCAAGAAAATCGCCTTCTCAAACGGCCACTCTGCATCCCCCCCCCCCCTACTCCCTCATATTTTATTCTAAATTATTTATTAGGTGTAATAGTACAGTACAAGAAAACCACCTGTGTAAGATTACCACTTTTCCTCTCTGATGTGTACCCCAGTACAGTAGCCAGTCGTGTCTGCAGTTCGTTTCGTCTTCTTTTATTTTCGTTTTCCTTTGTCTTTCTCTTATTCCAATTTTATGGGTTCCTGGCTCAATTTAATGGGTTTTGTGGGAGCCTTCTCATCCTTCCTCCTTCCCCCCCCCACCCCCACTCGCTGCCCGCCCCTCTCTCCAATGTCACCCTACCCCCTATCCCAACCGCCCCATCCCTTCTCCCCTCACGCTATCCACCCCTCACCATACCTCTACAGAGAAACCGTGCAGTTTTGTTTTCTTGTTCGAGGGGAGGGGGAGGCGGTTGTTTGGGTTTGAGGTTATTTTTGCCTTTGATTTGTTTGTTTTTACCTCCCGCCCGAATGTCCTAACTTTTTGCTGCTTCTCCTATTTCATTTCTGTAGGCTAATTTCCATCTCCCAATTTGAAACTAGCGATCGAAGATCTCAACAAATTTCCACACGGAGTCACCAGGCGAAAATTAATGGCAAACATCGTTAGGCTAAAGGTATCGACCGCCCCGGATCGAATTGTGCCAACGAGGGATTCGGGCCTGTGGCTTGTTATCCGACTGTGTTTTGTCTAATAGGACATGTGGGCGTGTGCCCCTTTTTCTCTCTTCCATACGACGAGGTGGAAGTTGGTGCTGAGATAAATACTGCTGATATATAAAAAAGGGCACCATATAATATTAAATATCATTATTAGTAGTATTTGTATTATTATTATCATTACTATTATTATTATTAACAGTTTTATTATCATTGTTATCATAAATATTAATAGTAGTAGTAGTAGTAGTAGTAGTAGTAGTAGTAGTAGTAGTAGTAGTAGTAGTAGTAGTAGTAGTAGTAGTAGTAGTAGTAGTAGTAGTAGTAATAGTAGTAGTAGCAGTAGTAGTAACAGCAGTAGTAGTAGTTGTAGTAGCAGTAATAATAGTAGTAATAATAATAATAGTAGTAGTAGTAGTAGTAGTAGTAGTAGTAGTAGTAGTAGTAGTAGTAGTATCACATTCAGCTTCACCTTCGCCTATCCCGCAGTCTGGCTGACATTTTGGGCACCACTGTAGATTTTTCCTCGACTGTCCACCTCTCCTTCCTGTTTGCAGCCCTCGGTAATAAGATCTTCCTGTCATGGCCAGTCTGCTATTTGATGTTTTCTTCCCAATGCTTCCTATGTCTGCCTCTCTGTCTCCGCCCCAGTGAGGTTCTCCGTAGGATAGTTTTGGCCAATCCAGAAGTTTGAGATCGTGTGATGAGCCAGTATTGTTACAGTGTGCGTATTGTTACAGTGTGGCCAGATGATGTTTCCAAATTCCTGTTCTCATCACCTCATTGTTTATGCGATCTTTTTACGATATGACAAGAAGTTGGAGGAACCATCTCATTTCTAAGGATGGTATTCTTCTTTCAATATAATCTGCTATCATATTCCACGATTCACTTGCACAATACGAACATAAGGCCACCACCAGGGGACACACCAGTCTGATGTTGGAGCTGAGGGCAAAATTCTTTCCTTTCCAAATTATCTTAATTTTGGTCACTGAAGCTGGGATCTGGGTTATCCAGGAGAGCATCTTTTGTGTCAGGCTGTTGAACTCTAACCTGAAGGGTGGACGGACATCACTGGTTCGGTTCCATCCCTAACCCAAAATCTCTGTCTTGGTTCCAAGCAAGCCTTCTAAACCACACGAGAGAATGAGGTTAACATTGTATCACTGGATGAATGACCTCCGCAACGCAGTTTACCAGCCAAAACGGTGGGGATGGAGGTGGGAAGGGAAATATCTTAGATATCCCGCTGTTACATGTTTAGTTTAAGACGAAGGCGAATAATCAAATAGGAGAACATCGGCTGTGGTCTGGCATGGAGAGGGATGGGCTCCGTCATGCGTCATTGCCCGAAATACACTCTATTACATGAAGATGATTGAGAGACCATAATATTAACATACTATAATGTTACTGTTATTATAGGGTTTTTTTATGTTTTGATTCTACTAGTGTTATAATAATATGATCATAAATTTTATTTTCAAATTATTATAATTGTATTTCTTGATAATATTCTTTCTATTGTTATCGTTACATTATAATTATATTATAGTGATTTTTATAATTGATATTAATTATGGTTTATCATTTGAAAGAGACATAATGATATCGCCGACGCCATGATCTTGGAATCATATTATGTCCATAAGAAGAAGAAGAAGAAGAAGAAGAAGA